GATTCTTCGCATGAACACCAATTCTGGTTTTGAGAAGACAAATAGCTAACCAAACTTTAAGCAACCTTCTCTCCCACCACAAACTAGTTCTCCCTTCAAGGTCGTAGCCTCAAAGGGAGCATTTCCTTTCAAAATGGAATCAGAAAAATGAATTTCACAACTTTTAGTTCAGCCCCAAATCTACCTCTAACCACTCAGTTCCAACAGCTGAGGAATGGAATTTTATCAGGAATATTTTATCTGTTTGAACTGTGTAGTTCCGCTTTGATGGCCTTGAGTCTTAGGAAGTGAGATTCATTTCTGTTCAAGGGTCTTCTTGATCTTTTGGAGCTGGAGCTTCCTTTCCATGCAGACCCTCCCCACCAATGCATTTGCTCCCACCTCCTACAAACGGAGTTTGCGCCTCCAAGCCGAGTTTGGGGCTCCACTCACTGTGCGCTCATATTTCACACAGTCAGGCCATGGATCACACCCTGGCCAGCACCCAGGAGATTCCCAAAGAGAAAGAGAGAACGATGGCCTACCTGCTGAGAGAGACAGTGGGAGGCAGTTCTGGATGATGTCCTTGTTCTGTGGGCATCATTACCAAAAGCTGCTTTTCGGTGATCTCTGCAAGGAAAGAAAAAGCAGGTATGAATTTAGGCCACTAGCAGCAGCAAGAAGTAAGTATTTGGTCAAAACATGTATTTTGCAGTATATAAGCACAATTTCAGCTCATATAAGCAGGCCACCTAAAGCAACAACACAAGAACATGCAGGCAATGCAACAAAGGAGACTGCTATCAGGATCCTATATTTTGTTCACAGGTACATCTCAGAAAAAAGTTGCAGAAGGTACTAACCCCATGGTGAATAATAATAATAAGCTATTATTTATATCCCGCCCATCTGGTTGGGTTTCCCCAGCCACTCTGGGCGGCTTCCAACAAAACACTAAAATACAATAACCTATAAAACATGCATTGTTTCAGATCCAGTTTCCAAGATGCAGTTGGAATAAATAAAAATACGATGCTGTTAAGGCCATGTCCCACTTGGGTGGGTGGGGTTGATAATAATAATAATAATAATTTAACATTTAGTGATAATAATAATTTTTCCCAGCCACCAACAGAATATTTAAAAAATGAGAAAACATCATATGCGACAAACTTCCCCCACCCTTTTAGCTGAATAACCATTATAATTATAATGATAACAATTTAAAAATGAAGGATAATCCTCATTTCTTCTCCTTTCCCAGCCGCTCCCCACAGAATATTAAAAACGTGACAAAACATACTATATTACAAACTTGCCTCCTTTTCTAATAATCATCATCATCATCATCATGATTTAAAAAGGAATGCTAATAATAATTTATTGTTGTTTCCCAGGATGAAAAAGGCGCCCAAAAGGCGCGGGAAACAGCTGAGGAGAAGCAGCTGAGAAACAGCTGGGAGAGAAAAAGCGGGAAAGGGCTGGCCCCGCCCACCACCCGGCCTGGGATTGGCCCAAAGGCCCACCTATCGTCGCCAGGATTGGATTGGGTGAGGGAGTTGCTAGGGCGGCCATTTTGGACAAGGGCAAGGGGACTGGAAAGAGGGAGGGGAAAGAAAGGGCGGAAGAGGCAGCGGCGCCGCCATGTTGCTTGAGGGCAGCGGGGCCTAGACTAGATTTCTGCTTTTCAGGGGTCAGACTAGATGCCTCTGGGGTTCCCTCTCTGCATCTCAGGGGTCAGACTAGACGCGTCTGGTGGTCCCTGCGGAGAACGAAGGCTGGAGGGACCCCCCCAAAAATCCCTTCTGGGAGGTGTCCCAACAGTGCCTGAGGGGCCTGGTTAGGGTTAGACATAGATAGGAAAATAAACAGTGCCCTCCTGTGGCCAGTACTGGAATAGACCTCAATAGGAAAATAAACAGTGCCCTCCTGTGGCCAATAGTGGAATAGACCTCAATAGGAAAATAAACAGTGCCCTCCTGTGGCCAATAGTGGAATAGACCTCAATAGGAAAAGAAACAGTGCCCTCCTGTGGCTAGTACTGGAATAGACCTCAATAGGAAAATAAACAGTGCCCTCCTGTGGCCAATACTGGAATAGACCTCAATAGGAGAATAAACAGTGCCCTCCTGTGGCCATTACTGGAATAGACCTCAATAGGAAAATAAACAGTGCCCTCCTGTGGCCAATACTGGAATAGACCTCAATAGGAGAATAAACAGTGCCCTCCTGTGGCCATTACTGGAATAGACCTCAATAGGAAAATAAACAGTGCCCTCCTGTGGCCATTACTGGAATAGACCTCAATAGGAAAAGAAACAGTGCCCTCCTGTGGCCAATACTGGAATAGACCTCAATAGGAAAATAAACAGTGCCCTCCTGTGGCCAATACTGGAATAGACCTCAATAGGAAAAGAAACAGTGCCCTCCTGTGGCCAATACTGGAATAGACCTCAATAGGAAAATAAACAGTGCCCTCCTGTGGCCAATACTGGAATAGACCTCAATAGGAGAATAAACAGTGCCCTCCTGTGGCCAATACTGGAATAGACCTCAATAGGAAAATAAACAGTGCCCTCCTGTGGCCAGTACTGGAATAGACCTCAATAGGAAAATAAACAGTGCCCTCCTGTGGCCATTACTGGAATAAACCTCAATAGGAAAATACACAGTGCCCTCCTGTGGCCAATACTCGAATAGACCTCAATAGGAAAATACACAGTGCCCTCCTGTGGCCAGTACTGGAATAGACCTCAATAGGAAAATAAACAGTCACCTCGTGTGGCCAGTACTGGAATAGACCTCAATAGGAAAATAAACAGTGCCCTCCTGTGGCCAATACTGGAATAGCCCTTAATAGGAAAATAAACAGCGACCTCCTGTGGCCAGTACTGGAATAGACCTCAATAGGAAAATAAACAGTGCCCTCCTGTGGCCAGTACTGCAATAGACCTCAATAGGAAAATAAACAGTGCCCTCCTGTGGCCAATGCTGGAATAGACCTCAATAGGAAAATAAACAGCGACCTCGTGTGGCCAGTACTGGAATAGACCTCAATAGGAAAATAAACAGTGCCCTCCTGTGGCCAATACTGGAATAGCCCTTAATAGGAAAATAAACAGCGACCTCCTGTGGCCAGTACTGGAATAGACCTCAATAGGAAAATAAACAGTGCCCTCCTGTGGCCAGTACTGCAATAGACCTCAATAGGAAAATAAACAGTGCCCTCCTGTGGCCAATGCTGGAATAGACCTCAATAGGAAAAGAAACAGCGACCTCGTGTGGCCAGTACTGGAATAGACCTCAATAGGAAAATAAACAGTGCCCTCCTGTGGCCAATACTGGAATAGACCTCAATAGGAAAATAAACAGCGCCCTCCTGTGGCCAATACTGGAATAGACCTCAATAGGAAAATAAACAGTGCCCTCCTGTGGCCAATACTGGAATAGCCCTTAATAGGAAAATAAACAGCGATCTCATGTGGCCAATGCTGGAATAGACCTCAATAGGAAAAGAAACAGTGACCTCCTGTGGCCAATACTGGAATAGCCCTTAATAGGAAAATAAACAGTGCCCTCGTGTGGCCAATGCTGGAATAGACCTCAATAGGAAAATAAACAGTGACCCCGTGTGGCCAGTACTGGAATAGACCTCAATAGGAAAAGAAACAGTGCCCTACTGTGGCCAATGCTGGAATAGACCTCAATAGGAAAATAAACAGCGACCTCGTGTGGCCAGTACTGGAATAGACCTCAAAAGGAAAATAAACAGTGCCCTCCTGTGGCCAATACTGGAACAGCCCTTAATAGGAAAATAAACAGCGACCTCGTGTGGCCAATGCTGGAATAGACCTCAATAGGAAAATAAACAGTGCCCTCCTGTGGCCAGTACTGGAATAGACCTCAATAGGAAAATAAACAGTGAGCCCGTGTGGCCAGTACTGGAATAGACCTCAATAGGAAAATAAACAGTGACCCCGTGTGGCCAGTACTGGAATATACCTCAATAGGAAAATAAACAGTGACCCCGTGTGGCTAGTACTGGAATAGACCTCAATAGGAAAATAAACAGTGCCCTCCTGTGGCCAATACTGGAATAGACCTCAATAGGAAAATAAACAGTGACCTCGTGTGGCCAGTACTGGAATAGACTTCAATAGGAAAATAAACAGTGCCCTCGTGTGGCCAATACTGGAATAGACCTCAATAGGAAAAGAAACAGTGACCTCGTGTGGCCAGTACTGGAATAGACTTCAATAGGAAAAGAAACAGTGCCCTCCTGTGGCCAATACTGGAATAGCCCATAATAGGAAAATAAACAGCGACTTCGTGTAGCCAATGCTGGAATAGACCTCAATAGGAAAATAAACAGTGAGCCCGTGTGGCCAGTACTGGAATAGACCTCAATAGGAAAATAAACAGTGACCCTGTGTGGCCAGTACTGGAATAGACTTCAATAGGAAAAGAAACAGTGCCCTCCTGTGGCCAATACTGGAATAGCCCATAATAGGAGAATAAACAGCGACCTCGTGTGGCCAGTACTGCAATAGACCTCAATAGGAAAATAAACAGTGCCCTCGTGTGGCCAATACTGGAATAGACCTCAATAGGAAAATAAACAGTGCCCTCGTGTGGCCAGTACTGGAATAGACCTCAATAGGAAAATAAACAGTGCCCTCCTGTGGCCAATACTCGAATAGACCTCAATAGGAAAATAAACAGTGCCCTCCTGTGGCCATTACTGGAATAGACCTCAATAGGAAACTAAACAGTGCCCTCCTGTGGCCAATACTGGAATAGACCTCAATAGGAAAAGAAACAGTGCCCTCCTGTGGCCAATACTGGAATAGCCCTTAATAGGAAAAGAAACAGCGACCTTGTGTGGCAATTACTGGAATAGACTTCAATAGGAAAATAAACAGCGACCTCGTGTGGCCAATACTGGAACAGCCCTTAATAGGAAAATAAACAGCGACCTCGTGTGGCCAATGCTGGAATAGACCTCAATAGGAAAATAAACAGTGCCCTCCTGTGGCCATTACTGGAATAGACCTCAATAGGAAAATAAACAGTGCCCTCCTGTGGCCAATACTGGAATAGACCTCAATAGGAAAAGAAACAGTGCCCTCCTGTGGCCAATACTGGAATAGCCCTTAATAGGAAAAGAAACAGCGACCTTGTGTGGCAATTACTGGAATAGACTTCAATAGGAAAATAAACAGCGACCTCGTGTGGCCAATACTGGAACAGCCCTTAATAGGAAAATAAACAGCGACCTCGTGTGGCCAATGCTGGAATAGACCTCAATAGGAAAATAAACAGTGCCCTCCTGTGGCCATTACTGGAATAGACCTCAATAGGAAAATAAACAGTGCCCTCCTGTGGCCAATACTGGAATAGACCTCAATAGGAAAAGAAACAGTGCCCTCCTGTGGCCAATACTGGAATAGCCCTTAATAGGAAAAGAAACAGCGACCTTGTGTGGCAATTACTGGAATAGACTTCAATAGGAAAATAAACAGCGACCTCGTGTGGCCAGTACTGCAATAGACCTCAATATGAAAATAAACAGTGACCCCGTGTGGCCAGTACTGGAATAGACCTCAATAGGAAAATAAACAGTGCCTGGAGCAGTGGGTCAGGTTCCTAGGTTCCCATTTATGGTTCAGATCTGTGTGAGGCTTGCTGTCCCGTTTAGCGTGGCGAGGGTGGTTCTTTGCACATCTGGAAGAGGACTGTGTCGCCTCCCATCCCCCTCTTGAAGGTGCTTTTTCAGCTCAGGGAAAAGGGCAGACACATCCTGAATTAGCATCCTGAATTAAGGGAGGGGGAATTCCCCTTGCAGCCAAAGGGTTGTTTGAGGCCACCCCGAAAGAGCTGATCTTCAGCTTGAAACCAGGACTTGCTCTTTCACCATGCTGCTCCTCCAGCTGCCAATGCCACCCATGGAACCTGTGGCAAGCGTGGGTTGTGTCCAGGAACCTGGGAGGATTTATTTCACGTGTGCGCATGTTTTCGTCTTTAAATCAACAGCCCGTGCAAGTTTTCAGCTCTTATGGCCATCGAGATTAACCTGGCCGTCTCAGAGGAAATCTTGGGAGGCTGAGGTGGACTTTCCAGTGTTCCAAGGGTGGTTGTGTCTTCCTGCCCAGCATCTATTTCCTGCCCTCTTTCCCCCCTGCACCGTTTCAAAGCAACCCCGGAGGAGGGAAGGAAGCGGAGCCATGGATCCTCCGCTCGCAACCGCACCAGATTTTAAGCAGGAAAGTGGGAGAGGAGCTGCTGACACGAGTGTAAGGGGCTCCCCTCCTGCTTTGCTGCTTCCCAGGGAGCCTGGGAGGAGGGAATCCGCTGCATGGATCCCCTTCCCTCCCTCCTTGCTGGCTTGGCCCCATAAGACGCACAGACATTTCCCCTTCCTTTTTAGGGGAGGAAACCTGCGTCCTCTGGAGCCAAAAATATGGTACCTGCTTCAAGCAATGGTTCATCGGAAGAAATTAAGTTTTCCACACATTGCTTTGTCACCTTCAGATGGCCTAACAAGAACAGGAAAAAGGAGACAAACCTCACCAACATGGGGGAAGCCAGGAGGTGCTGCCCTACCCCAATCAAATAAATAAAGATACTTTACTGTATTTTTACTGTACTGTACTGTGCTGGTTAGGGGGTCGGTGGGATATATCAGGACTGGAGTGGTTTAAAAATGTTCTTATGTGTTGTATGTTAATTTCTATTTCTATTTTCCCCCCTTTTACCTTCACGTCTGCAGCTGACTTTTCCTCCACCTTCTCTTCTCCCTTCCTCACGCGAAGTTTCCTCCTCCTCCTCCTTTTCAGAGCAGGAATTCAGCATATAGACCTAAGAAATATCAATAATGTCAATTATTTTCACAAGAAGGGAAAGAGGGGTTCCCGTCAAAGCAGACATAGAATATGTCCAGCCCAGATTGCAGTGGAAGAAAAAATCAAGTGGGAAAGGAGCCAGCATATGACTAACTGGAAGAAATGTGCTTTCCCCCGTTTCTTCTTTCTGAAGCCCTTTCTAAAGAATCATATAATTTATTATTATTATTATTATGGTGCATTTAGCTGGAAGGGACCCCAAGGGTCATCCAGTCCCACCCGCTGCAAGGCAGGAATCTGTGAAGGAACCACAAGGGTTCATTTCGTAATAACAACAATAATAATAATTTTATAATTGTAATAATAATAAGTGGAGGAATTGGGATCTGGAGGAATTAGCTGGTTACAAAACCCAGCAGTGCTTCATCTGAACAAGACACTGTTCAGGTACAGTTTTCAATACAGTTTTAAAGGCAGCCTGAGAGGGAAAGCAATGGAGATGTGAAGTTTTATTTTATATAAATAATAAATAATAATTAGAATTATTATTATCACAGCCAGTTCCTCTGGAGTTGCTTCTCCCCCCAATTCCAATAAATAAAAATACTATACCGCTAAGGCTTAGGGTCTCCCACTTGGGTGGGTGTGATTAATAATAATAATAATAATAATAATTTAACATTTAATAATAATAATTTATTACTATTTTCCAGCCATCAACAGAGTGTTTTTTTTAAAAAACGAGAAAACATAATATACTACAAACTTCCCTCACCCCTTTAGCAGAATAACCATTATAATTATAATGATAGCAATTTAAAAATGAAGGATAATCCTCATTTATTCCCCTTCCCCAGCTGCTCCCCACAGAATATTAAAAACGGGACAAAACATACTGTATTACAAACTTCTTCTTTTTTTAAAAGAAATATTTATTAAAGTTTTACAAAAAATATAAGTTTGCAGAATAAAGTTTACAGAAAACATAAGTTTACAGAATAGAGAAAATTAAAACAAAAAATTAACCAACTAGAAAACACACATAGGAAAGAGGAATAAAAAAGATACAAAATGCAAAGAAAAAACTAATAACTAGAAAGAAAAAATTTAAAAATAAATCCATTTTTCAATATCTTTAAGCTCATTTCCTTATTTCCTTGACCTCCTCACACCTCCCCTTTTTGTATTCCCGTTTAGAAAATCATTTCAGCAAATCCTTACCCTCTTTCATGTATTGCAAACTTCACCACGCCTTTTCCAATAATAAAAATAAAAATAATTTAAACAGTACTGCTAATAATCCTTTATTGTAATAAAAAGGCGCCAAAACTGCCTCGGCGTCCCGGGCGTGGGAAACAGCTGAGGAGAATCGGCTGAGAAACAGCTGGGAGGAGAAAAAGCGGGAAAGGGCTGGCCCCGCCCACCGCCCGGCCTGGGATTGGCCCAAAGGCCGACCTATCGCCGTCGAAGGCCCTCAACCAACATGGCGCCTCTTCTGCCCTTTCTCCCCCCCTCTTTCCAGTCCCGTTGTCCGGGTCCAAAATGGCCGCCCTAGGAACCCCCTCGCTCCGCGCACGCGCCCCCAGCCGCAGCTGCAGTAAACTCGGCGGCGATAGGTCGGCCTTTGGGCCAATCCCAGGTCGGGCTGTGGGCGGGGCCAGGCCTTGGGCGCGTGTTCTCCTCAGCGTCTCCTTCGCCATTTTCTCGAGGGAAGCCCGTGAGGTTGGTCGAGTCTTCGAGACTCTCTCTTGTTGGGAGCGGGCGGGAAAGAAGAAGAAAGGATTATCCTCATGGCTTTTTCAATTATTCTTATTCTTATTCTTATTATTAGAGAAGGCTTAGGGAAGTTTGGAATATATTCCGTTTTGTCGAATTGTTTAATATTCTGTCGGGGAAGAAATGAGGATTATCCTTCATTTTTACATTGTTCTCATTATTGTAATGGGTATTCTTATAAAAGGGTGAGGGAAATTTGTAGTTTTATCGTTATTTTAAAATACTCTTGGTGCCTGGGAAAGAGTAATACGTTCTTATTATCATTAATTTTATTATTGTTATTGTTATTAAAGGGTGAGGGAAGTTTGTAGTGTATGATGTTTTGTCGGTTTTAAAAAAATACTCTGTTGGTGGCTGGGAAAGAGTAATACATTATTATTATCATTAATTTTATTATTGTTATTATAAAAGGGTGAGGGAAGTTTGTAGTATATTACGTTTTATCATTTTTAAAAAAATATTCTGTTGGTGGCTGGGAAAGAGTAATACATTATTAATATCATTAAATGTTAAATTATTATTATTATTATTATAAATCACAGCCACCCAAGGGGGACACGGCCTCTTCCCCCCCAAGCCTTAACACTATAGTATTTTTATATATTGGAATTGGGGGGAGAAGCAACTCCAGAGGAACTGGCTGTGAGAATGATAATCATTTATTCTTTATATAAAATAAAGTGCAGATCTCCATTGCTTTCCCCCTCAGGCCGCCCTTAATGTCTTGGAAACTGCTTGAAGCGGTGCTTTTGTAACCAGCTAATTCCTCCAGATCCCAATTCCTCCACTTCTTATTTTTAATATTATTATTATTATTAAATGAACCCTTGTGGTTCCTTCGCAGATTCCTGCCTTGCAGCGGGTGGGACTGGATGACCCTTGGGGTCCCTTCCAGCTAGATGCACCATTATGTGATTCTTGGGGAAGTGATTCAGAAAGAAGAAAGAAGAAAAACACATTTCTTACAGTTAGTCCGTATGATGGCTCCTAGGGAAGGGAGGCTCCTTTCCCACTTAATTCTTTCTTCCACTGCAATCTGGGCTGGAAATATTATAGATCTCCTTGGACGGGGACCCCTCCTTTCCCTTCTTGTGAAAATAATGGACATTATTGATATTTCTTAGGTCTGCTCTGCTGAATTCCTGTTCTGAAAAGGAGGAGGAGGAGGAAACTTCGCGTGATGAAGGGAGAAGAGAAGATGGAGGAAAAGTCATGAAGGTAAAAGGGAAAAAATTGAAAGACATTAACATATAACATATAAGAACATTTTTAAAAAACCCCACTCCTGATATATTGCACCCACCCAAGTGGCGCTTGGCCTCATCCCCCGTAACCACCACAGTACAGTACAGTAAAAATATAGTTAAATAATTTTATTTATTTGATTGGGGTAGGCTAGAGCCTCCTGGCTTCTCCTATGCTGGTGAGGTATGTCTCCTTTTTCCTGTTCTTGTTAGGCTATCAAAAGGTGACAAAGCAATGGGTTGGAAACTTAATTTATTCAGATGAACCATTGCTTTAACCAGGTAATTACTCAAGGCACCGATTTTTCATCTATCGATTTATCCACATAATCCAACCAGAGATCCAAAAGTGGTACACTTGCACGTTAAATTTTAAGATAAATGTTTTGGAAGAGGCATAAATTTAAAAAGAGAATTAATTTGCAAACAAGCCCAGTGAATTAGAGAGGCAGAGCTGGCTGGTTTGTCTAATGGAGCATCCAAACCCCAGTTTGGGTCTAGAAGACCCAGTTTGCCCTCTCGCCTCAGCCTTAATGGCAACCCTCCATTGCTTTCTGTTTGATTTTTTGAGCAGATACTCTGAATTGAACAGCAGCAGAAGAAATGGGGATCAGCCCCTGCTGTAGTGGCCAGCACTAAAAGCCGTTTGAGTAATTCAGATCAATAAAGTAGGAATATTTAATATTTACAAACCAGCAACTTGACACCATTTTTGGACACTTGCATCAGCTTGCAATGTTAAGAGAGGTGCTCTAAAGAAAAGCACTTTCTACATTTATGAGTCTTCAGAGTAGGCTCATGGTTTTTCCTTTGCCTGGAGGTTAGCATATCTGCAATCAGCCCGAGAACTTCAGGCAGGACAAAAGGGGATGGCAAGGGCTTTAGAGAGAAGAAACAAATAGTGTTAAATGTTCTTAGCAGATGTACAATCCCCCCGAAGGCTTCAGGCCTCCTCCTGACTGTTGAAATGCTCCTGGGGAGACTGTAAGCAGCACCTCCTCCACTCCCAGTCAGGAAAAGGGGATGGCAAGGGGTGCTTCATGGCACAACTTGCAGCTGCAGCTTAAAGTGCCTTAAAAGTGCCATTTCATAGGGCAACACTGACAGCACAACCGAGGTTGGTTGGTGGTTTTTCTCCTGCATATTCCTGCCTTGCAGTGGGCTGGGCTGGATGACCTTTGGGGTCCCTTCCAGATATAGATATATATGCAGCATCATAGGATGTGAGTGCTTAGTATGAGCACCAAGGTTGCAGGGAGATCTCCATAAGGGACGCCTGCATATTCCTAAGAGCTGCAAAGTGCAACAGAAAGCAGAACCAGAAAATCATACCTCCCTGTTAGTTGTATGATGGCCAACAACTTCCCCTTCCCAGCCTGCTACTTTATTCTGTCTTGTATAGCAATACAAACGATGGGTGCCTGTTATATACTCCTCAGTTCATCTGAAAGAAATCAGGCCCGCAGGTTTGCTGTCTTAATGTCAGATTTTGTGGATCTATTGTCACCCATATGTTTCGGGCACAAGCCTACTTAGGCATGGAAAACAAAAGGGTGGGGGAAAACGAGGGTTTCTGAAATGAGTGGGTTTCCCTGCACACACTTCAGGGCAGAAGGGGGAGATGGAGAGAATGCTGTGCTTTCTCCCCCTTAATCTGTCTTCCCTACCTAATGATGGCGGACAAAGTCCCACCTCCAGCCCCTGCCCGGAAGAGGAGCAGCACCCATACAGAGAACGGTAGGAGCCAAATTGTCCAGGGATCTTCTGGGTGTGGAGGGGTGAGGGTTTTCTTCACCAACACCAGTGTGCAGTGCATACATAATAAACAGGCTTCCAAAAAAGTATAGTCTTTATACCCAAAATTCCCAAATTCCCCTAACCCTGGGGTCAGGAAGTCAGTTTTGTTTGGGACTGCCCTGCAATTCACACACGAGTCCGCAGGTGCAGAAAAATCTCTTTATGAGATGTTTTCCCTAATGAAAATGGTACCTCTAGACAGGTGCACAACAATCTGGACAATTTTGGGTTGGAGTAAAGAAGGCCACGGAAAGTAGTTTTTAACTAGGGTTCAAAGGTCAGAAAGAAGGGACGCGGGTGGCGCTGTGGGTTAAACCACAGAGCCTAGGACTTGCCGATCAGAAGGTTGGCAGTTCGAATCCGTGCGATGGGGTGAGCTCCCGTTGCTCGGTCCCTGCTCCTGCCAACCTAGCAGTTCGAAAGCACGTTAAAGTGCAAGGAGATAAATAGGTACCGCTCAGGCAGGAAGGTAAACGGCGTTTCCGTGCTCTGCTCTGGTTCGCCAGAAGCGGCTTAGTCATGCTGGCCACATGACCTGGAAGATGTGCGCCGGCCAATAAAGTGAGATGTGCACCGCAGCCCCAGAGTCGGCCACGACTGGACCTAATGGTCAGGGGTCCCTTTACCTTTGACAAAGGTCAGAAGTTGTAAGTCTGCTGTTGTAAGTCTAGGGGTTGGGGTTTGGGTCGTTGTAAGGGTCGGGGTTAGGCGTCAGGGTCAGGGCCTCCCCCTGACTGCTGAAATGCTCCCAGGGAGGATGTAAGCAGCAGTCCCTCTGTTTCCAGTCCAGAATAGTGATGGCCATGTTGGCTTCCTGGCTGACCTTGCAGCTGCAGGAGAGGTGTGCCATTTAAGAGGGCAACATTTGCTGCACAAGTAAGGTTGCAGGATTGTTCCCCGTAAGGGACTCCTGCATGTTCCTGCTATGCAGCAAGTTGGACTGGATGACCCTTGGGGTCCCTTCCAGAGGTTTATATTCCATCATTGTTCTTTGGAAAGGGCTTCAGAAAGAAGAAAAAGAAATAGCGTTCCTTAAAGTTAGTTGTATGATGGGAAAGAAGCCTTGCTTCCTGTGAGCTCCTTTATTATTCCTTGTACGTTAATTGGAGCTTGGCAGATCCTGTGCCTATTTTTACACGGACCCCTATTCAGTCCCCCTCCCCCCCCCGTTATTTCTCAGGTCTCTATGGGGCGTTCTGAATTCCTGATCCCAAAAAAGGGAGAAGGGGAAGCTTCGCCTGACGGAGGGAGGGAGAAGAGGGAATCTTTTGAGACCAGATGCCAGTGCCCCAAAGGTGCCAGTGCCAGGGCCCTCCTGCTGCCGTCTTGTGGGGCGAGAGGGGGAAAGGGGATCTTTGGGCACAAGATCCAAACAGCTCCTTTAACCAAACACCTGATTCGCCCAGCAGCGTGGCCGCCAAAGGAAAGAGAAGAAAAAGAGGCAAGGCAGCTGCCAGACATCTCTGCGGAGTTGCAAAAGGCAGGTACATCTTCCTAAGTCCACTTCCATCCACTGGAAAAGCTTCTTAGCAAGGAGCAAAGGGAACGTTGGGAAATACCTAGCTATCTCTCTAAGTGGGCAAGACCGCACAGTCCCTACACCTCCACAAGGCCTGGTCCTTTCCAGAGGTGCAGCCTGCCTTCTCCAAAGGTGGATTTCAGCTCAAACAGCTGGTTGAAAAGTCT